TCCATCATAGATTTTTCTGGTTTTCTGCAAGCTGGTGTTCCTTAGATTCCAACTCTTCCCGCTTCCTGTAAGAAGCTGTTATTATAAGAAAAGGAGGTTAGAAAGATTTAACTTATAGCCTCTATAGGTACATAAGCATGCTTATTCTCTGTTCATCATAGCTTTTGGTGGAGATATTAAAAATATATGAGAAAGCACATAACTCAAGGATTTCATAGGTGTCCTATATAGAAACAAATTTATTGCCTTCTGCTTAGTAATGTTCTATATTTAAAATGATTATAGTTCAATTAACTACCAGTACAATTAAAGCAGAATTCTAATTAAAGTAGGATTTCAAAAATGCACTCCTTGGGGATACACCAATGGCTTCCCTTTTCTTTTCATCTACCCTTTGTTCTTTGTCTTTAGATTTCTAGATGATTCTGAGTACTTTGAGAGGTAATAAACCTTCTCGGACACCCTGCAACAGGAACTCATGTGTTTTACATATGCTCACAACACTCTCTCATGCATACATGATGTGGGATTCCCCTCTGTATGCTGTGAATATGTTTTACTACCATTGGGTAATAAAGAAGCTGCTTTAGTATATGGCATGGCAGAATAAAGCCAGGTGGGAAATCTGAACACACACACACACACACACACACACACACACACACACACACACACATATATATATATAGAGAGAGAGAAGGCAGAGCTATAGAGACTCCATGTAGCTGCTAAAGGAGAAGGATGCCAGAATGTTTATGGTAGGTCACAGCCTAGCTAAGCCTGAGCATGAGTGAGTGAGCTGGAGCAGGTCAGCGTGAGGGAGCCAGCAAACAAATCTGTGGTTTCTGCTTCTCATTCCCACCTGAGCTGTCAGTATGACTTCCTTCTATGTGGATTATGACCTGGAATCTTACAGTTTAAGTCAAACCAACCCTTTTCTGCCCAACTTGCTTTTATTTACAGTGTTTTATCACAGTAACATAATAAAGCTAGCTCACCCCACCCCCCGCCCGTCTCTATTCCTCTTTCCTACATATTCATCTGACCAGGAGTCATGTCATCTTCTCACCAGATATAAGAAAGTACTCCAAAGAACTAGAACCATAAATACACATTTGCATCGCCCTTGGTGTGCCTGCTCAATCAAGTTGATATTTACTTAAAAACATCTCCATGACTGCTTTGTCTGAACTGATATTTTTTGGGTTTAGGTTTATGAGTGGTACCCAGTATTACCAACTCGGTAGTTTACAGACACAGGTGCTGTTCCTTTTCAGCATTCTCGAATACAACAACTAGACATTTCCCCCCATATTTAGATGGAGATTTGGTCTCTTTTGCATTGTTTTTGAGATAGCATGACAGTTAATTATCATATTATCAAATTAATAAAGATTTAGAACTCATTCCTGAAAAGGCAATTTTATTGTTGCTGTGGGAACTCCTTCAGCCAATAGCCTTTAAAAAAACAGCCCACTTTGGGTATGGTCTCATGTACTATAAAGGCAGACAAAAACCATGACTCTTGGCTGCTGGATTTGGTTCCAGTTCCTAGTGCACACAGAGGACTGTGGATTGTTACTCTTCCTGTGGGTTTACCCCCAAATAAACAAACCTTTGTTATACTCCACTCTGGGCTATTGCGGAACTCTTGTATGCCGACATATTCTTAATATATCCAGACTCAGTCACTATGCTGTTTGGCATATTTGATATGTTCTTGAATTTTAGAGATGAGAGGAACTGATAGAGTAAGGGAATTCCATTTTACAAATGATGATAAATGATAGAATCAAGACCACCTGGTGGTAAGCATTTTCACTATAACCTTCATCCACACACTCATCCACCCATCCACCCGGTAGCCCACCATCGATTTACTCATCCCTACACACACACACACACACACACACACACACACACACACACCCCTACCTCTCTATCAATCCACGCATCTACCCACCCATTCCATTCACCTATCCATCTCTACCCATCAATACATACACATAACCATCCATCCATACAACCAACATGTCAGAGCTCCTCCTGCCTTATGTGGATTCTGGAGCTGTAACCTATAAAAATACTTCTCAAACTTGTGGACTACCAACCCATCAGAAGAATATTGACAAATAAATGTAATTTTATGACATAAAGACATATTCTGAGTACTCTGAGGCCATGTCTTTAGTTGTAGATGAAGAATTAGCAGAGAAAGCCATAAGAGTTTCAATGGAAAAAGTGAGGCAGGCCAGGTATGAAGACATCTGGGATAAACAAATAAAAATCAGGAAAAATCGAGGCCACTTATGGAAATTCTCAGTGTATCAGCATGACTGACATATAAAACCTCACAGTGAGGGGCGGTAAGGAATGGCTGAGTTCTCATTCTGGCAGTTTCTCCGGGGCCAGCCTATGCTCAGCTAGACATTCCATTGGGATGAAAAGTGGGGTTATATGAATTGTAAGGACAGGAAAAGATGGCTAAAGTCACTGATTTCTCAGAGAGGCCTTCCAGGTCTCTATCGCCTGGAGCGCTTTTGCTTAGGCAAAATACTTTCTGGGTCAAAAGTAAAAGAAATGAAGTCATCCAAGCAGCAGCGAAGGCAACCCAAAATGGTGGGTTGTGGAACTGGGTGACAAGAGCAAATGCTGACAAGATAATGTACTAAATAGGAAATTTGTAGACTCACACCCCGGAAGATTCCCATGACAGCTCTGTGTAGGTTTAATTCATAAATGCAACAACATGATTGAGTCAGTAACTTCCACTGAGCACTGTTCCAGGCATGATTCTAATGAGATCTCTGACTGTATTTGCTGATTTGCTTCCCGTGTGTTCAGGACAATTCTAGGCTCTGAGAATAAAATAGACGGCCTCCACTCTCCATGGGGCCTCCATTGCAGAGGTATAGACACAGTAAATCCAAATGAAAGGCTGTGGGGAACACAGGGTTCCATGGGAGCTGGGAGAACCAAGAGATTGACACAAACCAGGTGAGTGATAGGAGAGAATGGGAACTTGGACAAGACAATAGCTGGAGAGCAAAAGCTAATGGCAGATTGACTGGAAGGAAGAGAGGGGAGTGTGTTGAAGAGAGAGTCACAGTCATGTGGTCCTGTGACCCAAGAGCTGAATCCCAGCAGCAAAGTGACATACTGGGTTTGAAATAACTGAATTTAAGATTTTAGTGCGGCACATTAATGCGTATCTGTTTCCTTACATCAGATTTTATTTTCTTAAAATATCAACCTTTAATAGGGGTTGGGTCCTCCAAGGAAGATAACAGAAATACAGGGATCTTGGCCAGGCTTATTCCTGCAGCCAACCTAGACTTTTGTGTGCTTTCTTAGTTTACTAGATGACTCTGAACTACCAAAGTTCGCACTACTGACTTGGATTTATGACAAGAGTAAGAAAAGAAGGAGCAAGTGAAGGGCTAGAGATGTTTATTTTGAGTTTATAAAAGTTTAAAATTAAAGTAGGGTTTAAAATGAAAATAATTCAGTTGGTAGCATGCTTCCTAGAATGCAGAAACCTCGACTTTGGTCCCAGCACCATATAAACAAAGTACAGTTTTACATGTCTGTAATCTTAGAACTCAGGATATAAAGACAATAATATCACAGGTTCAAGGTCATCCCTAGCTATATAGCAAGTTGAAGATCAGCCCAGTATACATGCAACTCTCTCAAACCAACCAACTACACAAATGTACCAACTAATCAAACCAAAGAAACCAAAGCCAGCCAAAGAAACAAAAATATGGATGGGTTAGCCTTCCCAGCAGGTGAGTATAAAGGGGAATGAGGAGAAGGAATGGGACAAAGAGTGGTTGCAAATAAGCCATTAGAGGAAGACAAGAGCTGCAGAGTTAACCTTGAAATATTCAGTTTTAGAGGAGAATGTAGAGATGCCAGTTTCTATTTAACTGAAATGCAGGTTCCCTGAGGACAGTGGTCTTGGGGTTACCTTATACCTGGCATTATGCCCAGTCCTTAATAGGTACTTGTTTACTGAGTGAATCGGTGGATCTGAGCCACTAACAAAATATTTTCAAGAGAATATAAGCAGTTGTGCTAAAGGCTGAGATCAAGAGGGTTGAAACTTCAGGAATGGAGTGATTCTGAGAGAAGATGTTGCTATCAAAGAAACATTTACCCTACACCGTGATTGCAGAGCGATACCCACATCCATGTATAGGCATAAAACTACCTAGGTGTGTGTTTTCATGTGAGTATAAAAGCATAGGTATATGCTATTTGGTCCTCACAGTGTCCTGTTCTATGAATGTCCATGCGTTACCTCTTTCAGCTTATGAATCTTATGAAGTATGTTTCAGAGACCCACAGTTGCAGAGGGCTAACTTTGGAGATGGAGACGCAGTCAAAGGCACAGGATATCAACTATCTATCTACAGGAAGCTGGATGATCCATTTGCCATGCACATATTTTCAGTGATTTCTCCCCAAGACTAGGCATCATTTCTAGAGATTGCATAAAACTGTAAAACTCTATTTTAAGATTTGTTGGAAGCTTTTACATTGCAGACACACATTTCCTTTGAGAGGATAAACCTTTGTGTCACAAAACAGAGATGCCTGTTCCTTAGCTCTCTGGGCTCTGCATGTTTGTTCACAAAACCTCCAGCATTTCTTGCATTTTGAAGAGTCATGCCTAACTGGCTGTTCCTATGGATTCCTTTACTCTGTCCACAGTGTTAAGCTGATCTATGGGGATCAGGCTTCTCTCGGGCCGTGTAACTAGAATCCATTACTGCTAATGGAGGTTGTATGTGAGCCTGAGGAAGCATACAGACATGGGGAGAACCCACAGTTTAGATTTTCATGGTCATTTTTATTTAGCCACCATAAGAGTTCAATATAAAGTTTCTTTGTTCCCCTTCCTCCAATGCTAACTGACATTGGCTATAGGTATCTGGTGACGGGTCTGTAGTTGTGACTTTAACAGGTGCAAGCATGTCTTTCCTCTGTTTCAGCCAAGAATTGTTGAGAGTGAAATGTTCCCAGCCATTAAGAGACTACCCTATCAAACACAGTTGCTCTGTCCCCTGCAAAGACCTACTCCATAGACCTTGGCGCAGGAATTGGCACGCTGCCTGGTTTTAGTTACTGCCAACAGTGCTCACGTACTGCGCATATTTTCTTTATGTGTGTATTAATAAGGTTTTGCGTGTTCTAAAAAAGAGACCTCAAATTTCTCATCATGCTTGTTCTGTATTTCACGTGAGCCCCGAGTTCTGGAGGAACCGAAAGAGTGGATTCCATACACGTGAAGTAGTTGGCCATGGTGTTGGCCATGGCATCTCAGGATGCCCAGAACTTCTTTCAGCCTTTGTCTTCCTGGCTCTCCCGGGTTTATGAAGCTCTCCAGCAAGCAGGCGATGCACTGTCGGCATCGCTGGTTCTTCTAAGCAAACAGGATTCGGCGTTGAGTGACAAGCCAGACCAGGACTTGGAGGATACTAAGTTTCAAGAAACCTACTTTGAAGATGGAGAGCAGGGCAGTGATAGGAATTCAGAGGAGGCAAACTCCCTGTTTCTTGAAGAGGACCATTTCTCACGCTCTAATAGTGACCTTCAGGACTCTGGCAGTATGGCAAGTCCCAGACTTGATCAACAAGCCAAAGACTCATGCTCTACCACACACCAGTGGCCCGATCCCATCCCAGCTGGCCCGAAGTCCCTGCACACGCTTTCTTCTATTGCAGAGGAAGAACGTGACTTTGAGAGGCAGAGATGTGGCCTCCAGCTTGGCTTTGACACCCAGCTCCCTGGCTCTTTAGAAAAAGTCGATGGAGAAAGGCAAGGTAAGCTATTCAGTACCATTGTCTCCATGCTCTTGACACCTTATATAGTTCCATTTTGATTTGCGTTTTAAGTATCACATTGATTTTACTTTTTCTCTGCCGCTTACACATTCCCTCATCCTGGCTTCTGATTGAGAGATACAATCCACAGGAATATTTTTGTTCTATGGGGCTTTACGAGATCCATGTTTGGGCTCCATATTTCAAAATAATAGTTGTGAGCAAGTGCAAAGCTTAAAATGAATCCGAGGGCTCTGCTGGAGAAGTCCCCATGCACATGCCATGGTTTTTTAAATATCTTTTAAAATGTTCTTTTTCCCCCTTCCCTCTAGGTTAGGAATTTCTAGATGTTACTATATTATTCAGTGTGAAATCCTGTGCAAACAGCCATGCTTGTTGCAGGATTTGTAGTTGATAACACTCCAAGAATACTTCTCTCAGCGGCTCACTGGGACATGATGCGAGATGACAGTAGATGGGAGAGCTTTGACATCGGTTGGCTTCATTTGCTTTTAGCCTGGAATAATAAGGATACAGTTAATAAAAGTTGCCTATGACACTTTATGTTCTCAGAACTGAGCAGAGTGGGACTTTAAAAGCACCATTGGATATGATATAAATGTAATTAACTCTGGGAAAGCTATAGGCGTGTGTGATAGCATAGATTTTCCACAGTTTTAACCCATAGAGAGGTCATCCTACCTGGTTAAGAGACAGAGGCAAATGGTAGGCTGAGGTGAGGGGGTGGGACATGTATGTATGTGTGCATACACAGTCCACACATATTAGTAGATTATTTATACCCAGACAAAGTCATGACTTCCTTTCTTGTTGGAGGGAGCCAACATTTTGGGGATACCATATTGTCTTTTTCATTTTCAATGATTCTTCCAAGTGCCATGGTATTCAGGGAGGATTTTACCAGACACAGGGGATCTTGGTGTTTAAGAAAACAAAAGTATCCTATGCCTTTTGCAGCACTTTCTTCTCTCTGTGTGTGAGCTTGTGAGAGAGAGAGAGAGAGAGAGAGAGAGAGAGAGAGAGAGAGAGAAAGAGAGAGAGAGAGTTATTATGTACATGTAGGCTTGTGCATGTGATGTTCAGATACCGAATGCCTTCCTCAATTGTTTTCCATCTTTTTTTTTTTGAAACAGTCTTTCATTGAAGCTGGAGCTTGTCTATTCAGCTAGACTAGCTTGTCATCAAGTCCCTTGAATCCTCCTGCCACTGCCTGCCCCAATACCAGGATTATAAATACACACTGTACCCAGCTTTTTGCATGGCTTCTGGGAATCCAGACTCAGGTCATTGTGCTTCAATAGCAAGCAGTTTATTGACTGAGCCCTGCCCCCACCCCCACAATGCTCTCTTGACTCTTATTTGTTGAACTGGAATGTCAGACAGGCTAATATTCCTTCTCAAAGACTAAATATAAATGACCACAGTTCTGAGTCATTTAAAAAATTATTTGTGAAATATTTGGTTGAATTTTAGATTTGAGTTGAAATTGTATTCTGATTTTAGAAAATTCTTGCCTAATTTTAATTGTATTTGAAATTAATGTGAATTTGTCTTAACAGATGCTCAACAGTGATTTTTTTGGTTAATTTTCATAACTGTGAAATCTGAATACCAACATTAATTAAACCCAACCTTCAAGTCAGATGATAAAGACCATGATGTGACTTCTCCATTGTACGCACGATGGTGAGCTCCATGTTGGCTGTGAGGCAGGATGAGGCAGAAGGCAAACTAATTCCTCTGAGGTGCAGCCACTCTCATTTTCTTTTTATACTTGCAGAATATAACCTAAGTTCTACATTTGGAAAGAAGCAGAGTTTGGGTGGTCTGATCTTAGAGTTTATATGTTCTTTATTCCCTATTACGATACAATTTACGTAAGATGAAATTTACCTTGGTCTTCTGTTTTGTTACTGTTCAGAGCATTTTGTCATCATGAGTAAGGCATAGTGCAATCTCGCCACTGCAAAGGATCCCTGCACAGCTTTCTGTAGGCATCCTTTACCTCCAGATTGTGGCAAACATGACTTGATACTGTTTTTTTTTTCTGGCTCTATTAACTCTTAGTGTTTTTTAGAATGCCATCTAAATGAAAAGGTGGATTTTGTGCCCTCTCAAATCGGGCTCCTTTTATTTACTGTCACACGTGTGAGAGCTGCCCCTCTTCATGACCCTTTATGTTGTTGAATCCTGTGACATTGGATGCATGCAGTAGTTCGTTAATTGGTTTCTCTGCTGAGGGATAGTTCACTTTTCACGAGTTTTATTTCCTTCTAAGAATTGAACTCTTCATTCTTTTTCTTGTCTGATTACATTGGACAGTCTCTCTATTACCATGTTAACAAGAGTGGTGGGTGTGTACTTAATTGTCTTCGTCCTTAACTTAGCATAAAGCTTTCATGTCTACTTCAAGGCTAGACACAGGTTAAAGGAGTTCCTGGGTTTTTTTTTTTTTTTGTTTTTTGTTTTTTGTTTTGTCAAAAGAGAATATTGAATTTGGTTAAACAGTCTTTGGCCAAACTAGAAAATTTACATCAACCTTCTTTTTTGCTGCATTGCAGTGAGTTGTATTGATTAACTTTGAGCTGTTGAATTAGTCTGATGTAGCTTGCAGAAGATCGTTCTGGCTGTGCTGTGTTATTGCTTTCATTCATTGATGGATTTGACTGGCTAGTGTTTTAAATGAGGACATTTTCGTGTATTGTCATCAGGGATTCTGATGTGTGCTTACCTTTTGTGGTACTATGGATGAAACCCAGAGCCTTGAACATAATCGACAAGCATTCTTTTTATTTTCATTTTTATCATTTGATACTAAGGATGGTATTATTTCTGATTCAACTCTAAATAATTCAAATAGCTCTTTAAAAACCAAAAGGATGAATTGTCATCGCAAGATTTTTGTAGGAATGATAGGAAAACTGAAAATTCAATCTCCACCCACTGGGTTTGCAGTTAAAATGAGAATCAGATGTAAGCACAGATATGTACGCAGGCATTAAAGACACAGGGTAACAACGTACAGAGCTTACCTGTGCTTGGAGCTGTATGGCAGTACCAAAAAAATCTTAATTCTGCCTGCAGGGGTCTGAGAAGGTCACATAATACTAGGAAATTCATGGTGGAGGACACAGAAGGCACGGCGAATGTTTTCAACATTGCGGGGAAAACATCAGGCTGTGCATAGAGAAAGTGACAACACCAGGATAGCAAGGTGACACCCAGGAAGGAGGGGTGGAGCTGTCTGGGATGTCTCAGGGCTGCAAGGAAAGTCCAGCAATGCCTACAGAGAACCACTGTTGTCAGACATTCTGAAGAAGATTTTCATTAATACTGCAAAAGGGGTCTGATGTATGGCTTGTCACCTACTGTGACAGCTTTGAACCAGTAACCCCAAATATCTTTTCTTTATTGAAAATAAAACTTTTCATACAATATACTCTGCTTATGGCTTCCTCTACCCCATGCCTCCCAGTCCTTCCCCATATCCTTTACCAGCTGGATCCACACCCTTTCTGTCTCTCCTTAGAAAACAAATTAAGTATCCAAAGAATAATAATAAAAAGATGTGATAAATAAAAAAAAAATCAGAATTTGAAAAAACAAACAAGGAAACAAGTCCTAAAATGCACAATAAATGTATATTGATGCAGAGACACACAGGTTTGCACTCTCAGGAATCCCCTAAAAATCCCAACTTGGAAGCTATGATATACATGCAAAAGACCTACAGTATAGAAAAAAACAAAACAGAGCACAAAATCTTGCCTTGATGTAACATTATGAGATAAAGAGCCTCAAAGATGCTGTTGATTTCATTTTGTTTTGGCCATCTATTGCTGGGTATGGGACCTACCATTGAGAGTAGTTTGTTTCCCCAGTGAGACTCCCCAGGAGAAAACTAATTTTTCATTTACAACTACATATCAATTGGAGAAAGCTTGTGCGTTAGGGATTGGAAGCACGTGTCCACTTCTTTCATCTCTGGGACCCCATCTGGTGCAGATCCATAGATGCCTTGTTCATGTTGACACAGTCTCTCCTAAGTTCATATGTTCACCAATCCTTTGTTCTATAAGGCCTTGATTCCTTGGTGCCCTCCATATGCTCTGGGTTTTACAATCTTTCTACCTCCTCTTTTTCAGAGTTCCATGAGGGAAGTGATTTGATGGAGGAATCCCTTTTAGGGCTGAGTGTTCCAAGGTCTGTTTTGACATAGTGTTTGATAGGAGGTTTCTGTACTTATTCCCATCCGCAGGAGGAAGGTTTTCTTATGATGGCTGAACAAAGAACTAATCTATGAGCAGAACAAAATGTCACTGGAGTCGTTTTACTGCTATGCTCCTTAAACAGTACAGTAGTATTTAGCTTTCCCCTAGGTCACTTGCCTATTTAGTCTCAGATTCCTAGCCACCCAAACAGCATTGGATAAGTGTTTTCCATCTCATGGACTAGGCATTAAATCAAATCAGGCATTGGTTGGTTATTCCCACAAGCTTTGTGCCATTATTGTACCAGTGTATCTTTGAGGCATGTCATTCTTTTTTTTTTTTTTTTTTTTTTTTTTTGGTTTTTCGAGACAGGGTTTCTCTATGGTTTTGGAGCCTGTCCTGGAACTAGCTCTTGTAGACCAGGCTGGTCTCGAACTCACAAAGATCCGCCTGCCTCTGCCTCCCAAGTGCTGGGATTAAAGGCGTGCACCACCACCGCCCGGCTTGAGGCATGTCATTCTTATAGATCAAATGGTTTGTTGCTAGGCTGGTGTTTACCTTTCACCTTTGGTACCATGCATTGTATCTTCCAGTGCCATGAACCTTAGTTTTTAGGGGTAAAGGCTTTTGGTACTCACCAGCTCTACTTCTCTAAGTTCAATGAATTGTGTAGTTGTTTCAATAGGCGCTCTTGATATGTTACTATCTGATTTTAGTATCTCCGTGATGTTCACTTCATAAAATGAATTTAAAAGTGTTTGTCCTTTA